ATCTCATTGGAACCCACTCAATTGTAAAGTTCATGTTATATAACCCTGTTAATAATAAGCACTATAATGCATGTATAAAACATCTGATCATCCACTGACATGTGATACCATTTGTGAAAGTGAATGAACGGTTCCTAGGACTATCTGAACTCTTCTGACCTAAATCAATACATAAATTAACATTATCTTGTACATTAGGTGTTATTTCTAATACAGGTCCATAGATTTGCACTAGATGGGCAAAAGCTTTGGAAGAATTGATTTTAAGGGTGGGGCGTAATGAAGAGTCAGTTAAAGACTTGGTGAATGTGACTTATTGAATATAAATTGCCAGCCTGACCTAGTTATTCAAAGTCATTCAAGGTTTAGAAGAAATGTAAATAGTAATAAATGAATGCAAGTCTCATCAGCTGTGAAATGATTCTTAGCAACAAAGCAAGGCAAGGCTATTTTTTGAGCTCTTGACAGCCAGGTGTATGCAAGCATTTAAATTAAATTACATTAAATACCGTACAGATGATTGCAGTCTAGATTAGTTATTAATTAATGCTGATGCTTGCAATTACTCAAAGGTAATTATAGGCATGTAAACTATTTATATTTGACTACATCTGTAAACACATCGACATGAGAATAAACACAACTGAAGTAGTCATGAAGGATATCTAGTTTAAAGGGACAATTTATCGAGCCTCAATGTCATTTTAAAACAATATTTACTGTTTTCCATGGAAATATTTGAATAATCTTTTTATGAACAATCTTTTCATAAAGATGTGTGTCATTTCTTGCCAGTAGTTTCACTAAAGGGAATTGCAAGAATAACGTCTCTGTTACGTCGTAAGATAACCGACGTTCGTCGGATGCATCTGACAGAAATGGGATCTTCGCAGAGGCAGGAATAATTCTTCCTTGCATGCTGATGTTATTTGTAATCTTGTATTTTTGGTTGTTACAATAGTCTACAGTATATGTGAATATTTAGTATGTACAAGCATCTGTCCAGTTCGATGCATGAACTCTGACCTGCACTGGATCCCCACACAATTACCCTCCCATGAGCCTCCCATGTTTACCTGTTCGGTGACATTAGTACAAACACTCCGATATCTTCCCACTGTGCTGTGCAGTGAGTCGGAGCAATCAGACATTCACGATCATCCTTTTGAAAAATCAAAGCTGGGCTTCCAGCTGAGCCAAGTTTGATATCCAAAGGCAGGCTGCCCAGCGAGAATATCTCTGCTCTGTTTTGATGAGGTGAAGTCTCACACTGTTACGACAGATGAATAATTATTTTGGGTGACACTTTCTTTGCGTCCATCACTTGATGGGCCAGTTCTTTTTTCCTGCCGGCGACATTTGTGATTTCCCTGTGATTTCAGGCACCGACACAAAAACTTGAGGATGACCAGTGGATTGCTTTTGCTGGAGATCTTCAAACGCGCGTGTGTGTGTAATGACAAAAGATAGTTGCACGGTGCATGGCTTTTGTGTAGTTCGAAATTTCAGCTAAATAGCTCTCTCTGTGGAACAATGCTACAGCACAGTGAGCCGTGATGGAGTCTGGAGTGCATAGCTTGAGGTGTTTGATAAGACCTGCACAGGCTTAACTCTGAGGGGTTACTGAGGTGGGCTGACAGCATTGTGCGAATCCTCAGGGACTCTCTGCCTCTATGATTACAGCTCGCTGCACTTTCTCTCTCTCGTTCTCTCTCTCTCAGCTGTTTGACTCTTAAAATAGAACCTCAAGGTCTGGCTGGCTGCTATTCCCAGCTGTAACTCTAGAGATTTCTAAAACAGTGACCACTTGCTCTTTTGTCCACAACCTGCAGAGTGTGAGATGTGGATGGTGTCCAAACTCCAAAGTGGAGGACAAACGTCGAAAATTTCTTGTCTTCGAAACATTTTCGAAGCACAGTAGGTTCGTTTTCTTGATCAATCGTCCCATCAAACAGTCGTCACCTTATTGCCAAAATAAAGTGTATATGACTGCTTGATTGAATTACTGTTTCCCATTTTGTTTCCATTATGTTGTTTCCACTTTTGATCAATTTAAAGGAGTAGTTCACTTTTAAAAAAAACTTTGTTGATAATTTACTCACCCCCATGTCATCCAAGATGTCCATGTCTTTCTTTCTTCAGTCGCAAAGAAATTAAGGTTTTTGATGAAAACATTCCAGGATTTTCTCCATGTAATGGACTTCAATGGGAACCAAATGGTTCAAGGTCCAAATGAGAGTTTTAGTGCAGCTTTAAACGACACCAGACGATGAATAAGGGTCTTATCTAGCGAAATGATCTGTCATTTAAAAAATAAATAAAAAAGTTTAAGTTTTATAAGCACAAATGGTCGCCTTGCTCTGTTCTGTGATGAGCGTTCGTGACTCTCCTGTTCAAACTTGTCCATCAAAATGAACAATTTTTTTTTCGAATCGACTCGAGGGTCCTAGATAAGACCCTGATTCATCGTCTGTTGTTATTTAAAGCCCTTTGAAGCTGCACTGAAACTCTCATTTGGACCTTGAAGCGTTTGGTTCCCATTGAAGTGCATTATATGGAGAAAATCCAGCAAAGTTTTCATCAAAAACCTTAATTTCTTTTCGACCGAAGAAAGAAAGATGTGGACATCTTGGATGACTTGGGGGTGAGTAAATTATAAGCAAAAGTTTTTTTTAAAACATGAACTACTCCTTTAATGCATCCTTGATAAATATTTTATTTTTTACTTACTGCCCCAAAACTTTGAACAATATGTAAATCTCTTCGTGTACCAGGTATCCATGATGTTATGGATTTCCAAGTTTGAATTCCAAGTTCAATTTGCACTTCTCTAAACTAAATGCTGGAAAGCCTGACCTGTGAGTTGATGGAGTGCTGGGTAATAATAATAAAGAATTTGAGTTCTTTAATAATTCCAAGTTATGTACTCTCTGACTGAGAAGAGTAACAGCATGTTTATTATCATTACTCAGTGGCCGTTCTTCATAGCCCTTGTGCCAACTAAACAAATGAGGCAAATTATGTTAAATCAGAGATGGGATATTTGAAACTGACCTCTATTGTATGAGTATGAACACAGTTTAGGGACTTTGTTCAAGGACAACTCTTGAATTTGCTCTAGACCAACATCTCCTGTACTAAGGAGAGTTTTTAGGTTAAAGTTACATTGAATTCATGAGAATCATGTTTTTTAGTCCAAAAGATTCTACAAAAACCTTTATGCATTCTCACTGGCAAGAGGTATTAATATACTAGTGACATTGAAAATTCATCATCAGTTTAACCTGCATTCAGAACACTTATTTTTAGATTACATAAAGTCCTTTTGTAATGAATAAGCACAAAGTGAAGTGGATAAGAGGGCTGTGTTTGAAAGAAAATGAGGGCTGAGTTGATGCTTTTGCCGGGATCCTTGCATTGTGGCAAATGCTCTGTCTATGCTTGATGCGTGGGAAGCGCTTCAGTGTCCAACTCCATGCTAAAATGCTCTTGTTAATCCCCTGTAGCTCCAAAGAGGCTAGAACTACCTGCAGACACACACACACGTGCACACACACACACACACATACTCACAGTTTCATAGATGGTAGACTGGGTAATGAAGCCATGGAATTAATCACTGTGTAAAATGATGGAAAGTGTTTTCTCGATTCTGCACTGATTGCCGCTGTGGGGAGTCATTCATAAAACAGCAGGTGGAGATGTCACTATGATGTCAGTTCCATACCTTTTGTTTGATATGGAAGAAAAAAACCTGTTCGTATACTTTATATTCTGAAGGAACCTCTCTGGGATCTTTATATGGGCTAGCTAGAAGTTGCATTTCATTTTTTATTTATAATATATCATTTTTAGGTGTGATTTATATAATAGTTTTTAAACAAATAGATATGTACACATAGATATACATTACATATGTGTGTACATATACAACAATTTAAAAACATTTTAGAAATCACACCTAAAAATTATTACGGTGTTTTTTAGGTGTGAACTTTATAAAGTAAAATAATAATTGCATGAACTCAGTTGCAAATAACATTATATTATTGTCTGAGAATATATATATATATATATGTGTGTGTGTAAAATTATATATATATATATATATATATATATATATATATATATATATATTACACAGTGCACCCACATATATTATGTAAACACAAACTTTTGTTTTGGATGCGATTAATCGCGATTAATCGTTTGACAGCCCTAATATATATATATATATATATATATATATATATATATATATATATTATACACACAGTATATATATATATATATATATATATATATATATATATATTCTCAGACAATAATATAATGTTATTTATATTATTATTATATATATATATATATATATATATATATATACACACACATGCATGTATATTTAAGAAAAACATATTATTTATATATAAACTATTTATATATAATATAAATTCTATATAAATCTATGTACAGTATATACATGAAAATATTTCTTAAATATATAAGCATGTGTGTGTATTTATATATATATATATATATATAAAATAATTATACTGCCCTACAAAGCAAAAAGGTAGTAATTGCATTTTTGGTCAAACATTTGTTATTATCATTTTCATGACATTCAAGGCATCCTTTGTTATGTGACAAAACATCTTATCTCAAATGTGTGTCGTTTTGGAGCACAAACTTTTATTTTGGATGCGATTAATCGTTTGACAGCCCTAATATGTGTATATATATTATATATATATAAGAGCAGAATTGTGCTAACTGGGTTGATTTACTAACTTACCTAGTTTATTTTGCAATGTGTTTGCTGATCCATAATAAACCTTCACTTTGCATCAAAGGAGACAGTGAAAATGTGTCATTGCTGTCAAAATGCTCTTTGAATGTTAAAGAAAGAAACGTCCTCTCAATGAAAGCAGGAGGAGAGATCAGTAACGTGCACTGACCCATAGACGAAACCTGTCTTGCTTTCTATTTTCCAGAAGAAGGGTTCTCAGAACCAAGAAGGTCTATAACACCTGGAGAGAACTATTCATTAGCAACCCCATTCGTCCCAATGGCAGTTTGTTGACTGGCACAGGAACCCTCACAAGTATTCAATCAGCTTTCTGCCATCTTTTCACATGACGATTCTGACGTAAGTCTGTTTCACACTTTTAAAAGCTTGCCACACAACAATGTAATGTATGCAAATATTGATATGTGATTAATTGCATTTCACGTAATTAGATTGATTAACATTTTAAATTGATTAACAGCCCTAAAATAAGATGCAACCTCTTTCAAATTGGATCCTGAAAAAATGTAATTATGATTTGATGTGAATACAAAGTACTTCCACACAGCTAGCTTTTTTTTTTTATATAAACAGCTCTTGCATAATTGAATGCAGCTACATCTTTAATTTCACAAACATCACCCCAAACAACTTATCATGAATGCAGCCCATATGCTGAACGGACTGCCTTTGTGTCAAACGGCTGAATAGACATTGAGAATGTGAACAGCGTTGTGCAGCATTACAAAAAAAAGCCATGTTGTTGATATTGAATCTTTTGTTACAATGCTAGACAAAGCAAAGCTGAGAAATATATTCAGAGAAACTCTTGAATCTGTGCCGAACTGACAGTTGTAGAGTTGTGATGCGAGCATGACAAATGTGTTCAGGGCTTATGGGACAGCTACACTGACGTCTCTGTTTCCCAATTTCTACATTTTCATCATAAATTTGGGCTATTCACAAACCGTGAAGTCAGAAGTGCAGTCCAAATATGATGGCGGCACTAACATGCTAATAAGAAGCTGTTGGGAAGTAATAATGGAGCTGTTGGAAGCAACATGAATATTGATAAGGACATTGATTGATAATGAAGTCCTTGTGGCATAAATATTCAGCACTTGGGGCAGTATGGATTAATGCAGTTCTTTCAACAGTGCGACTTCAAGGCATTGTGAGAAGTACAAATTTCAATTTGGTGGCACTTAACTTAACAGTCGGTAATGTGAGCCAAAAAAACTATGATACAGTAAGTCATGACATCAGAAGAACAATATGAATGAAGATACACATGCAATGCCATCTGAGATGCAGCTTAAATTGCCCAAATAGACGATTAATAAGATGTTTTTAATGTAATTATGCTGTAAGAGAAGGTACATTGTGTCATAAAAAGCACTTTGACTTAAGTGCACTAAAAGTGGAGTACAGTGGAGAACACAAGTGAGTAGTCAATTAGCAGATGCTTTTATCCCAAGTGACCTTTCAGCACCCTGCTATTAAGTGTCTTGCTCAAGGGCCCAACGGTGATCCCTCATGGCTTACTCAGACCAGAAACCTTCCACTCTTCCAGCCCTGAGCTTTAACTTTTAGGCCACATGACCCTAATATATCTCTGATTAAGGCATGTCAGGAGGGCACATCTTTGGAGCCCACTTCTCTTTTATTAAATTACTCTATATAGTAGTGGCTTAAAGTGATGTCCGGAGAGGATATTTGTTCTAATGACCCTACAGTTTGATTAAACTCATGTATTTTATATGTTTTTAAATGTTTTAAATATGAGGCAAGAGCAGAACTCTAAACTTATTTAAGCTATTTATATGACAAAATTATTTGGCAAAAAAGGCAAGTTGCAGCTACAGGTATTATTTTTAGGGATGCGCCGATATGAAAATTTTAGCCGATACCGATAACCGATAATTCTTTATATTTGAAAGCCGATAACCGATATATCGGCCGATAAACTTAAATCCAAATTTTTATCTAATTTTGAGAGCCTGATTACAAAAACAAAAGTCTCACAATTAAATCCATGTCCCAAGCGCACAATTATAATGATGTTCTCATTATAGTGTTGTATAGCCGATAAGACAGATTTGAGCTGCTCATGTTGTCCCGAACCAAAGAGATTTCAATCATATTTCAAGAAATTCAAAAACATAAACAGTGCTCAACAAGTGTCTCAGCTGAAGGGAATAATACATTATTTATCGGTTTTAATATATCGGCCACATTTTCTTACCAGGCCGATAACGATAACATTAAAAATGAACATATATCGGCCGATACCGATATGCTGGCCGATATATCGTGCGTCCCTAATTATTTTACTAACAAAATGCACAGAAAAACAAAAAGCACATAAGCATTAAACATAATCGCTAATAAGTATTTAGTTGGTTCTGCTTGTGTTCATAATGTCTTTGTATGACATTTGGCATGTTTCATTGGATTTGCACAAATAAAACAATTGGCTCCCAGCACAACTGTACAACTCTTTAACACATTTTAATAATATTTGAATATAGGATGAAGATGTACATTTTCTTAGACTTTGAACACTGCTGTATATTAGTCTACAATCATGATGGACTATTTCTAGTGGATAGAGTAGTAATTTTTTTATTTTATTTTTGGAAGGAAGGAACTTTTACTTTTATTCAAGGATTCATTACATGGATCAAAAGTGACAGTAGATATTTATAATGTTACAAAAGATATTTCAAACAAACTTTCTATCAATCCAATAATCCTAAAAATATATATCACAGTTTTCAACATTGATAATAATAATAATAATAATAAATGTTTCTTGAGCAGCAAATCAGCATACTAGAATGATTTCTGAAGGATAGAATTTCTGAAGGATAGACTAAAGTAATGGATGCTGAATTCAGTTTTGCCATCACATGATTTACTGTATTTTTAAACAAATAAATGTAGCCTTGGTGTGCATAAGAGACAAAAACATTCAAACAAATCTTACTGACCATAAAGTGTTATATACTCGACTGCTATTAAATTTTTCCTTGTTTTATGAAGGTCACATTAAAACTGCATTAGAAGGACGTCACCTGGGGTGTGGGGAGTGTGTGTGTGTGTGTGTGTGTGTGTGTGTGTGTGTGTGTGTGTGTGTGTGTGTGTGTGTGTGTGTGTGTGTGTGTGTGTGTGTGTGTGTGTGTGTGTGTGTTTGAGACTCAATGTATTGGGAACAGAATATTTTTAGTACCTATCAAACTGTTTATTTATGCAAAAACTGTAGATATATATTTCATTTTGTGTATTTACATAAAGTGCTAGCAGTGTAATTAGTCTTAACAATACAAATGACATCACCATGCCCTTGTATTCGTGTGAGGCTGCATTTAGGTATAGAACGTCCACTTTTCATACTTCCCAATTAATTCATAATGGATACATATGCCAGGCTTTATTTTCCCAATTGAATATCCAGAAATAAGCTCATTACAGAAGTAAAAGTGTTGTGAATGCAGTTTCATGCTTTTATTTAACAATAGAACTGCCAGGGGTTTGTTGTATACCTAAAACTGCTAAAATTAACATTAAAACATAATAGGCCGCACAAACATAAAGGCATTATATTGGTAAATTTGAGGGAGAGTTGGATATTTTATTGAAAATCTGTTATCTACATCTGAAAATTGCAGCAGATGTTGTAGCGTTTGTAGTATGCAAGAGCTGAGATCCAACAAAAAAAAAATGAAATCTTAAATTCAGTTCTTGTCATTTCTTTTGAAAATGGCTGGATCAGTACTTTGCATGTGGCTGAGTTAGTTTTTTCATTATGATTCTTTTAAAGTTATGTGTGACTTTCAACCAAACGATCAATTCATGTTCGTTCTCAGCAGATCAGAGGAGAGGCTAATTAAGCAGATGGCCTGGACTGCAGGCAGTTTCAGGATCTGTCACATACATATTCTCTGTACTTGTAGACCTATGCATACAGAATTATTAATGATGATTAATGCATGAGTTCACACCTACTATTCGTGGCTTCATGCATGGCTGCACATTTGAACACTGTTCCTGACTGGTACCGTGTGGATGAAAGCGATTCACAAACGTGCCACACTCGCACATTCATTCGTGCACGGATCTTCTTTGCCTTGTTTTTATAATGTAAAATGTGCTGACACACACGAGAACGCGCACATCACACCATGTATCGCTTACATCTTCATCCTTCTTTATTCGTAAGCTTCATGTCTATGAATAACTCCATTTCTCCAGGGACAGTAACACAATCAGCTGCTAATGCTATTTCATTAGCTGACCCCTCATGTGAGCCCAACCACACACACACACACACACAGAAATCCACAAACATACAGATGCTGCGTGTGGTCCCTTTCACCAATTCACCAGACATTTGAGAGTTATAGATCAAATCATGATCACAGTTTAATTGGTGAAGAATGGTTTTGTGTGTGTATATATATACGTATACAGGGGTAAAGTGGGCCGGAACTGCATTCCGGCACCTCAGATAAATTAATAAATAAATAGATTAATTAATCTCAACGAATCTTGCTTCTCCCGATATGGACCAACTTCCCTTCCTCCCCGCTGAACGCGAACGATAAACACAAAGTATAAACTATATAAAGTATAAACTGTATAAAGTATAAACACAAATCCCACAAATCTCACTTTAACCATATATATATATATATTTATGTATATATATATTTATATATATATATATAATACATAAATATATATATATATATATACATAATATATAAATATAATATATATATATATATATATTAGGGCTGTGCAAAAATTAATTGCGATTAATCGCATCCAAAATAAAAGTCTGTGTTTACATAATATATTTGTGTGTGCTGTATATAATTATTTTGTATATATAAATACACACACATGCATGTATATATTTAAGAAAATGTGTTATTCATGTGTAAAATATTTATATTTATATAATATAGATTATGTATTTATAAATATATACAGAATTTAAGCGAAAATAATTCTTAAATATATACATGCATGCATAGGTATTTATATATACAAAATAATTATATACAGCACACACAAATATATTATGTAAACACGGACTTTTATTTTGGATGCGATTAATCGCAATTAACTTTTGCACAGCCCTAATATATATATATATAATATTAGGGCTGTCAAATGATTAATCTTATCCAAAATAAAAGTTTGTGTTTACATAATATATGTAGGTGCACTGTGTACTGTGTATAATTATTTTATATATATAAATACACACACATGCTTTAAAGAAATATTTTTATGTATATACTGTATTTAGATTTATATATAATTTATATTATATATAAATATACATATTTTATATATAAATAATATTTTTTTCTTAAATATATACATGCATGTGTGTGTATTTACATATATACAAAATAATTATACACAGTGCACCCACATATATTATGTAAACACAAACTTTTATTTTGTAAGCGATTAATCGTTTGACAGCTCTAATATATATATACAGTATGTGTTTGTGTGTGTATATGTATGTATTTTTATTTCTTTATTTGTTGGAAATCTATATAGCAGAGAAAACTACACTAATTGCAATTTCATGGATTCTCTCTGGAAATCTGTTGCTGTCGTTTAGAAATGACGTTGTAAAGTTCATTGAATTGTTTTCCTTTCTTTTATTCAATGTTTTGTGCATAGTGTTGATTATGTGGCTTCAACGATTATATAGTGAAACAGACATATGGATTGACAGCAGCCCTGAGACGCAATAAATGCCATTTAAAATGAACACATTTACATTCATATGCATTTATTCCGAAGTGACTTTCTTATTATTGTGTTTACAACAATTTCAAGGAAAACATCAAGTACAAAGGGAAGACCTTGGTGCAAATAACAGTGATGCATCAACACAATTGCAGTGGTGAATATACTGCGTGTTCTTAAAGGGCGCACACAGTTCTTCTTCCCAGTGATATCTGTTGGTGCGAATGCATGAAGTTGCCTGCTGTCATTTCCCACTAAAGCTGTGAGTTCATTTTCTGTTCCTCTTGTTTATGTTGTTTTAACTAGGTCAATTGGTGGCCATGTGACTTCAGCTTGTCTAGGACCCACCCCATGAGGAATAAAACCACTTTTTCTAGAAGACTGATATATCTAGAGATTTCATCAAATGTGAGTGAACATGGTTTTAATGATATTTCTCAAATGTACTATTCATTTTTTAATATGTGAAAAATTAGTGCACCTGTCAACCTCTAGGTGCCAATTACAATTACTGTAGTATTAAAAAGAAAATAGAAGTTGTAGTTTGTAATGGTAAAACAGGGGCTATTATAATATTTATTTTGCAAGCTAGATAAAAAAAAGAAGCTGTTATGGAGCAATGTACCTGTAAGACAGATGCTAAGACCAATAAAGAATTGAATTGTCCTGATGACTCAACAAGGCATCTGACTCTCAGCATATGTTTTAGCTTCTGTCTAATTGAGCGCTGTCTTACTGAGTTATTGTATTGAGTTGTCCTTGAAATGCAAGTCCACGTCATTGGCAGAGATTGTAGATTTAATTTCCACGAGTCGAAGCATCACTGTTGCTCATATTTTAGGGTTAGGAATTTGAACAAACCCTGCTTGCAACCCATTTGATTCTGTAATGTTATTAGTGGAAGAGAAAAAGGATTGTAAAACATTGATTGGACAATGAAAATGTGGTGTTCCAGACCTGAATTAGTTGTGGAGGACAACACCCATCCTGAAACACCTCCAGCACACACTTTTGAGCAGGATTTTGACCAGGATGTGAGAGCTAAAGATCAATTTCACCCTCCAGAACATCTCATCGCATGATTCTACTGATAGCATTAGTTTTTTTTAAGAAATATACTGTTGTCAAGATTTTGAAAGCCTGCAAACTAAACATTTTACACACTGTCAGTTGCTGCATTTTGTATCTTTAAAGGTGGACATATTATGCCACTTTTAGTTTTCACAAGATGTAATATAAATCTGGTGTCCTCTGTGAAATTTCAGCTCAAAATATACCAGATCATTTGTCCATTGAGGTCCTTTTCATGCTTAAACAGCAATACACACTAAAGAAAGTTGAAAATGTAAAAAAAAAAAACATAACAGGTCCTCTTTAAAATTTCGTTTGAGGTCTGTTAAATATTACTCAAGCCCTTTTAAAATAAATAGCAAAGATTAAGAGCGAGCAAGGGAAGACAAGAAATGCATGCCTGTTCTTCTAGACTGCTTGATTTACTCGCTTTCGGACATTTTTATGGATGGCAGAAGGCACTCCCTCACTGCACGCTATAACAGCGCAGTAATTGCATCCACTGCATGTCCTCCAAAGTGCTCAATTACTCTTTCCTCATCTTCACCCGACCTGGAGGCGCACACAACAATAACCTTGTCATGAGCTGGCTGTTTAAATGTCTCATATATATCTCTTTAACGTCCTCCTTCTCCCACGTCAGCACAGAGCTCAGGCTACGAGAGCGGATGGGCGTTTTAATAGCGCACGAGAAGTTTAGGCGTGTGAATGCGACTATGTGTACGTCAGGTTGGCTTATTGAGTTTGTGAGGCTGTCAGTAACCTCATATTTGCAAAGAGAGTTGTTTACTTCAATTTGTAGTCTGTCGTATAATTAATAAGACATCTTAATGGCAGTTGACCAGAGCAAACCCTCAGACGTGCTTCCTGATTCATTGGTGATATCATCTTTTTCATCTAATTTTTCAAAGCAGTATGAATATGATTTTACTTTTGCACTCAGTAAGGGTAATTTATATTGTTTTCAGAACTGTTTTAGATATTAGGTTGTGCTAGGGTAATTTTTAAATCTGTAATATGTTAAGAGATTTCCTTTTTTTATTATTTTCCTGCTAGTAGTTAGTTTTATTTCAAGCAATCATTAGTTCACTGGAGTGAAGGTTTTGCTTACACTTTATTATGATGGTCCCTTTTGATTATTCTGTTGACTATAAGTAACTTTGCAACCACATGTTAACTTTTTCTATCCCTGACCCTACTTATACTCTACTAATACTCTAATGAGAGTTAGTTGACATGTACTTGCAAGATTATTTGTGCTCAACAGAATGTGTTAGAGACCATCAAAATAAAGTAAAACCAAGTTTTTTTTTTCTCTAGTGAATATTTGTTATGATTATTTTATGTTTTGGCTCATTTTAAAAGTCTTAGCTATAAAAAAAAAAATCAGTCATTGGTGTTTTCCAGCACTATTATTCAGGTGTAATTTTTTTAACTGCTGTTTATGGTCACTGATTTAAAAACAATACTTTTGAAAAATAAATCGGATCATCTTCTACAATATTCACTACGAATTAGTATTCGTAGTGAATTTCAGGCTAATGATTTTTTTTTCCCAGCTAAATATAAACTCTAAATAATTCATGAAACTGAAAAAAAAAATGGATAGACTATCATGTCAAAAATGTCAAACCATTGTTTTGGCCGACAGTAATTGTAAATTATGAATTGCATACTGCACTGCAAATGGAAATAAAACCCGCTGGAACCAATAGATGAATTAAACATTATTTCAGTCAGGCTTGATTTTTGTTAGCGTATTGATGGTTTAGAATTAGTGGTGTGTAGTCAGACCAGGATACTAGAAATGCTTTGCCAATAAGGCCGGGCAGGCCTTTGCGGGAGCTAATCAGAGGAAATGTACGCCGCGGCCATCATTGATTAGACCTCCTAGAAATCAGCATGATTGCACATCACCAATTAAAGAGATTTGGGAAGAAAACAAGGTGAACTAGCATTTTTCTCCCATTTGCATCCCTTTAGACTCTCCTCTGCTCAGTCTTTTCCACCTCTCTTCTGCTTTCTGAGCATGACTCGGCTGTTGTTGTTTTGTCTGGTTGCAACCTGTTCCCCTGTGCTAACATGCTAAGCTAACGTGCTCATTACAGTTGATTCAGATGTGTCTTGGCAGCACAGTAGTGGGTCAGCAGGCATTGGCGCGAGCACGGATAGATGTTAATTAAAGCGCACTTGGCATGACCCGCTGTCTGTCCGCTCCAATACGCACCACATGTGGAGCAACAGAAACCTGCGGTGTGCAAGTGTGTACCATTTGGAGTTTTGATTGAGGACATAGAGACTCTAACCAGTGTAAACTAGAAGGCATTTAATGACTTGCAGGAGATGGAAATAATAATTGCTCCCCGACTACACAACTTTATACATTTTAATGTTATTTGGAATGCAAGAGTTAGTTCTGAGATGCTTCCCTGTCAGTTCGTTGCTTACTTACAAAACTACTGCTGTAGAAAGCTACACGGAAACGATTCTGAAGAGAAAACGCAAAAGTGGCGTTAGTTATCGCTTTTTATTTTGCGTTTAGACGAGCGTTTTGGGTGGAAAATCCGCGTGGATATGGTGACGCAAAAGTGTGTGAAATGCAATGTAGTATGCACTCCAGGCAGCTAGGTGGCAATGTAGAGCACTCCCACACAACAACACCAAGTCCGCTCGCCTGTGTACAACCTTCTCTGTCAAGCAGAGTTTTGCGTTTTTACACAGGAACACGACGGTGGAGCGTTTTTAAGATTTCCACTCTCTTTTTTGCGTTTTTAAGCCCCATAAACGGTGTCGCTGTGTAGACGAAAGGCACATCCGATAAAATATTTTTACGTTTTCACCCACGAGCGTTCTCGTGTAAACAGGGCCCCGTCCACACTACTGCGTTTTCATTTAAAAACGGAGAATTAAAACGAACACGATCTCCGTCCACACCAGCGTTTTATCTGAAAACGACTGAAAACGCGGATCACGTGACCATTCACCAACACTGGGCATGCGCGTGCCGGTTTAAACAGTGGCTGACGAATCAGGGAAGGACACGTCATGACTGATGACACCCAATCATAGAGCCGAGCGGTAGCCTCTGCGTCGTCGTTTCTAAAGTCCTCCGTTTTGCCCGTTTTGTTATTCAAAACGCAAAACGGAGCTGCAGCGTTTCTAAACTTCTCCATTTTAGGTCTTCGTTTTTTCCATTTTAGTCTGGACAGGAGGTGCAAACGTAGCAAAAGGTTTCTGTTTTTAAACGAAAACGCAGTAGTGTGTGGCCTAAGTGGCTTTAAATGTGTTTTGTTAGGGGCTATGGAGTTGCTTAGATTTTCTAAGTGGCTTTTATTAGTGTGTTGCTGCTTGAATGGTTGTTTCTCTTCTGGGTGGTTTCTTACTGGCCCCAGGACCCAAGTCTCTATATGCTATTGTGACTGGAGCCCTTCCTTCGAGCAGCAATAAAGAAAGAATTCTGATAATCTTTTAGTTCCTCAGTATACACCCACTTTCTGTATTGTTTACACTATCTTTTCTTGTAAACAACGACGGGAATGGATTATCTGATTCGATCTCTTTGTGAGTCAGATATGAGGAAACAAATTAAATTAGATCATCCCTAACCAAACAGATGAGCGCTGTGTTTAATTTCTATAACACGTAGGACGTCCACCAGCTGTCACTGAGTCAGTCTGAAATTAAACATTGACAGGTTATCTGAGATAACGAGCCTGTTTGACAGATACATGGCATTTGACCAAACATCCACATCTGTGACAAAAATATGACTTTATCGAGATGAAATGATGTGTACTGCTTTGTAAGTGAGTACATTATATATTCTACTTTTATTAATTATATTCGTTTTCTTTCTGCACTATGCACTATAAATGATGCATATAAACAGGACAAATGTTTGCAGAAACGTGTGTGATGCTTTATATTATCCTCTGCCCTGTACACCTGCAGAACAGATTCTCATGTTTATTTTAAGAAGGAATATTCACAACCGATTCATTAGAGGGAAAAAAATGCTTTAGTGACACATTAGAAAAATCTAAATTTACACTACTGTTCAAAAAAAGATGCATTTAATTGAACAAAAGTGACAGTAAAGACATCTATTATGTATGTTACAGAAGAATCTCAAATAAAGGTTGATCTCAATCATTTTTTGATCTTTCTATTTAACAAAGAAAAAAAACACACTTTCCACAAAAATATTAAGCAAATTAACATTGATAATAATCAATTATGTTTCTTGAGCAGCAAATCGGCGTGTTAGAGTGAAGGATCGTTTTAAAGGATCGTCTGACACTGAAGATTGGAGTAATGATGCTGAAAATTCAGCTTTG